AAAAAAAAAAAAAAAAAGAAAAAATTATAAATAAATAAATAAGAAGAAGAAAGAAAAGAAACAGAAAAAACAGAAATTATGTTGCTGGAACTCCTTGAATCATGATTAAAATGCCAACTCAATAAACAAAATAAAAACTTACATGCTCTGTGCAAGACAAATGTTTTTGATGTGTCTTTTTGCTCTACTTTCCTGAATGTTGCTGTTAAAACTAAACATGCTTTCCTTGAGATTTGTTTTCATTTATGAATTATTGACTTTATTATTATAATTATTTTATGTCACTATGCTGACTTTTTACAGGCTCTTAACTTTTCTAATTACTGCTTTTTATTTATCCTTATAGAATTCAAATGTTGTGACTCATTTTTTCCATATATTATTTTATATTATTGCTTGCATTTGATTAACTTATTTTTTCTTCATTCCTGTGTGAAGAATTGCAGCTATTAAACTAGTCTGTGTAGTATTTTTGTTTCAGTTTTGATGATCAGAAATCAAATTGTACTGTTAATTATTGTAATCAGAATATGAGATATTATTTTTCTATATATTTTTCAAATTGACAAGAATGAAGTCAGACTAAATTGTTTTCAGATAGCTTTTTGGATATGTTTGCCATGTTTGTGTAATGTGATTTCCCATTCTTTATTAACTAAAACAACAACATTATTGATCAGATTATTAAAAAATGATGAATGTATTATGTTTCAGCTTCAAGAAAAAGAAGCAGAAATCCTCCGTCTTCATGCCAGTGTTACGAGCCTCGGACAGCAGTTGAATGAACTAGAACACATCAAGAACATCGACTCAGCATATCAGAGTAGAAAATGGCAGGAATTTGAACAACTTGCAGACAGTATGAGAAACATGTCACACACGCTGGCGACTGTCACGTCACCACGCAGTGCACGGAGGACGGGTTTGAAGGAATATTGATAGTGATGTTCGAGGCAAAATGGGAAATTTTCATCAGGGGTGTTTTAAGAAAAAATTTATTCAGAATAAAAAAATTTGAAATAGACTTTTAAGAAAATGATATAAAGGGGCCAATTTGTCTTTGATTATTGTTCAGGTTTTAACTATTTGTTTTACTTTTCATTGCTGTTGCCCATCCATTTTCAATCAGAATCCTGCTTTCACATAATATTTTATTGTTAATAGCAAAAGTATACTAATAAAGAAGGCAAGATTCTCTTATAGCAACTGTCATTCTCCATACTGATGTAGTTTTAATTTTTTTTTTTTACGGATGTTACAAAGTTATTTTATTGTTATTATAATTATAAACCCACAACTTCTTGGATCATTAAATGACATGGCCATACATGACAAATAATATTTAGGATATCTGGTCTCAAAGAGCTTATTATAACTTATTATTATAGTATTAGTGAATACAATATGAAATTAATCTATACCTCATTTAACAATTATCTTTGACTTATTATCAAATTGATAGTTTTTCCTACTTTTTATGGAGAATTATTGTTAAGAAAATTTAGGAAAGGTTATGAAGCAGGTTGTAAAAGTCTGACTTTCAGATACATTTTTATGTAAGTGTGGATACTGCATGAAGTGAACATTATAACATGCATCAGCTCATTGCCAAAATAAAAAAGGGGANAAGATTGTTAATTTACTTCACAGCATCTGCAAGAGGAAGTAGACGGATTGAACATAGAAAACCGTAGAAAGGAGGGAGACATTGGAATGCTAAGTGTTGAGAAAACGAGAGCCTTGGAGACGCTCTCAGCTGAAGAAGGTGGGTAACACAGGCGCCATCTATATTTGTGTCTAGACAGTCTGGTGGTGCATTGGTAACAAAAAGGAGGAAAGGAAACTTTTGTAGTTCAAAGGTGGAAATGTTTGTGGGACCCAAACCATGTTTTAAATCAACAAAGCCTTTGGAAACTGTTTCTGTACTCCGTTCACTGTTTTTCAACTATGAACCTTTAATGAAAAAATACAAAAACAAACAAAAAATATAAACTAAGAATTAAGTCATCTTCCAAATAAAAAAATTAAGACATATCTAAACTGAGTTGAATATTTTCAGATTGATTTAAATATATATTTTTTTTACAATTTTCATTTGACATACAAAATCATTTCTTCACAGCAAAATTTAACCGTGAGAAAAGACTGCTTATGGATGAAATTGTGCAATTGAAGAAAGACAATGAAATGATGAGCTTGGAGAACATACGAAAAGACACTGAGCTTTCTAATGCACGCTCAGATGTAGAATCTACGAGGCATGCATTACGGAATGCAGAGGGGAAGATCGATCTTTTGAGAAATCAGGTCAGTATTTTATCTCTCTCTCTCTCTCTCTCTCTCTCTCTCTCTCTCTCTCTCTCTCTCTCTCTCTCTCCAGCAGAACATTTCAGCTTGGATCAGGGCAACTACTGGTAAATGCATATTCAAGTCAACATTGTGATGTTGATTTGAGGGCATTGTATGGACGACTGACTTGAAAAAAAGTGGTTGACATGGACCTCAAAAAGTTATTCTCACCTCCAAGAGTTAAAATCACAATATGCACTAGGTACCTACTTATGTAGTCAAAAATCTGAGTTAATTAGCTGTCTTTTGTTAAGACCAATTTTTGACTTACACTGTTAGTCAGTTTGTGACACTGTACCCAGATGTTAATAATTGCTTAATACTCAGCTTTCTTTATCGTATTCAGCTTGACCAAAGAATAGAACAACACAAGATTACGCAGCTGGCGCTGGAAGAGAAGAGAGCAGAAGTTCTCCGCACAGAAACCAACCTTAGAGAACTGGAGGACAAATATTACAGCAGCACAGTGCAGCTGAAGGATAAAGCTATGCAAGACTTGAGGGTGAGTGTATTTAATTGTTTGTTTGTTCTTTCATTCTTTTATTAATTCATTTTTGCATTAATGTTTTGTTTTTGTTTTTGTTTTTGTTTTTTTTGTTGATTGATTGGTTAATTGGTTGTCTGATTAACTAGTTGATTAATTGAATTAATAAACTATTGTCTTTTTATTTATGTTTGTATGCTTGGAAAGATTGTTATTGTCTTAAATGAGCAATGAGCAGACAGGGTATTATAAACAAGTGTACATTATTAGCTCATGTTGGAAAATTATTGAAAGTGATGAAATCAGTTTTCTGGAGTTTTTCCTATTATGGATTTGCCCCTGTGCCTTAATAAAAAATTCCTCTTTGTAGGATGAGATCCGCATGCTGCGTCAAAAACTGAAGGAAACTGAAATGATGGCAGACCAAGACAGATTTTTGAAAAATAAACTCTCCGATGACAGTTCTCACTTGGTGAAAGAAAATGCCTTGATCAACCAGCAAGTTTTAGAGTTACAGAAACAGTTGGACAGGGTAGGGAATTGTTTGTTCATATTCACAGATGCACACCAAAAGCCATTTCTTAAACTAAACTCTTTTGTCCAGGGGGTTCTTAATTTGGTACTTGAATGCATGGTTTGCTACTGAGAGTCTGCTCTTTTTAAGCATTAGCAAGTGGTAACAAGCTAGGTTTGTATTTCTAGTGTTAACTTTATCTTTGGGCAATGGAAAATACTGAATAGTTACTAATGAAAACCATTCAAACTACCAAATACACTCAAGCACACGTTTATGAACGTGGATGAATATTGTGCAGCAAATTCATGAATGCTACAAAATAAGCTGCCAGTAAAGATAGAAAAGGAAAACTGCAATTTAAGACCAAAGATTTCACCTTAAAAAATTACTTATTTTAAACCTGCTTTTATGTCATTTCTAGGAAAGAGAGCTGCGGGAGGCCACAGACACCCGTAGATCGGTGAATGCTGTGGAGCTCGCTGCCAGTAAAGACAGAGAGAGCAAACTGCAATTTGAACTGAATAATACAAAGGAACAACTCAGGCAGGAACAAGATAGAGTGAGACACTATATGGATCAGGTAATAGTTTTTGTCATTTATTATTATAAATTATAATTATTATGCAGTCTTCAACTTCAAACACAGTTACGAGGCAATTTACAATTAGCTTTAGCATAAAATTTGTGAAAAAAATTTTAACTACTTGTCTAATGGTGCTGATGAAAAATTAAGCTTTTGTTATAGACTATTTTTCCTGTATATAAATTCCATCTGTGGACAAAGGGTTTGAGATTGATTCTGATTAGTAAGAGTAATACTAGTTTTATGCAGACTGTTGGTACAAGTGATCAGAGGGCTGAAAGAAGTTCATTAAACCTGTAATATCTATTGATATCATGTTATTCCCAGCTCTCAGCTCAGGGCTCCACTTTGACGAGTACAGAATTAAATGCATCCTCCACACGCAGTCGTTTGGTAGAACTAGAGAGCGTGCACCGCAGCACGGAAGATGAGAACGCACAGCTGCGGAGAGACAAGGCTCTGCTCACAGATCACACTGCAGACCTGCAGAGACAGGTAGGGTTGGGATTGTCTTGGCAAAAAATGACATCTATCTTTGTGTCATTGTATCTTCAAGGGGCAATTGTTGTTTTGGACAAAATTTTACTGGCTGTTATTGCAAGATGTACCTGGTACCCTGTTAAAAAAAGGAAAGGAAACTAGGAGAGTTCATTTGCAATTTTACTTTAAACATTTCAGTGTTGTAAATTCAAAATTGTATGTGAACTTTTTCCTTCTCAATCTATCCCTCAATTAACTACAACACAAACTGTTTCATTTTCAAAACTATTGAAGGTCAGCTGTGGAATTAAAAGGGTGAAAAGTTCTACACAATTTATGAGAAGTCTCCCCAAGTTGAGACTTGGGCTATAGTTACTTGATCAATTTCCAGATAGAGGAGAAAGAAAGGGAGATCACGAGGTTACGCTCCACAGTTGGTATCCAAGAGTCCCAACTGGACCAGCTGGAAGCTGTCAAAAATGCTGAAACAGCTTACCAAAATCAAAAATGGCGTGAATTTGAAAACTTAGCAGACAGCATGCGCAATATGACCAGCACCATGGCGCGCTCTCGTAGCCCTAGTCCCAGCCCCAGAATGAGAACACGGCTTTCTAACTACTAAAAAGTATTGAAATTATGTTTGCTGTTTGACTTTTGTTTTATTTTCAATCTTTTGTGCAGAGTTTTGATTATTTGCTGAAGATATCCCCCCCCCCCAAAAAAAAAAAAGAAAGAAAAAAAAGAAATAATAATAAATAAATAAATAAGAAGAAGAAAGAAAAGAAACAGAAAAAACAGAAATTATGTTGTTGGAACTCCTTGAATTATGATTAAATTGCCAACTCAACAAACAAAATAAAAACTTACATGCTCTGTGCAAGACAAATGTTTTTGATGTGTCTTTTTGCTCTACTTTCCTGAATGTTGCTGTTAAAACTAAACATGCTTTCCTTGAGATTTGTTTTCATTTATGAATTATTGACTTTATTATTATAATTATTTTATGTCACTATGCTGACTTTTTACAGGCTCTTAACTTTTCTAATTACTGCTTTTTATTTATCCTTATAGAATTCAAATGTTGATGACCTCATTTTTTCCTAATATTATTTTATATTATTGCTTGCATTTGATTAACTTATTTTTTCTTCATTCCTGTGTGAAGAATTGCAGCTATTAAACTGTGTAGTATTTTTATTTCAGTTTTGATGATCAGAAATCAAATTGTACTGTTAATTATTGTAATCAGAATATGAGATATTATTTTTCTATATATTTTTCAAATTAACAAGAATGAAGTCAGACTAAATTGTTTTCAGATAGCTTTTTGGATATGTTTGCCATGTTTGTGTAATGTGATTTCCCATTCTTTATTAACTAAAACAACAACATTATTGATCAGAATATTAAAAAATGATGAATTTATTATGTTTCAGCTTCAAGAAAAAGAATCAGAAATCCTCCGTCTTCATGCCAGTGTTACGAGCCTCGGACAGCAGTTGAACGAACTAGAACACATCAAGAACATCGACTCAGCATATCAGAGTAGAAAATGGCAGGAATTTGAACAACTTGCAGACAGTATGAGAAACATGTCACACACGCTGGCGACTGTCACGTCACCACGCAGCGCACGGAGGACGGGTTTGAAGGAATATTGATAGTGATGTTGGAGGCAGAACGGGAAATTTTCATCAGGGGTGTTTTAAGGAAAAAGTTATTCAGAATAAAAAAATTTGAAATAGACTTTTAAGAAAATGATACAAAGGGGCCAATTTGTCTTTGATTATTGTTCAGGTTTTAACTATTTGTTTTACTTTTCATTGCTATTGCCCATCCATTTTCAGTCAGAATCCTGCTTTCACATAATATTTTATTGTTAATAGCAAAAGTATACTAATAAAGAAGGCGAGATTCTCTTACAGCAAGTGTCATTCTCCATACTGATGTAGTTTTAATTATTTTTTTTTATGGATGTTATAAAGTTATTTTATTGTTATTATAATTATATACCCACAACTTCTTGGATCATTAAATGACATGGCCATACATGACAAATAATATTTAGGATATCTGGTCTCAAAGAGCTTATTATAACTTATTATTATTATAGTATTAGTGAATACAATATGAAATTAATCTATACCTCATTTAACAATTATCTTTGACTTATTATCAAATTGATAGTTTTTCCTACTTTTTATGGAGAATTATTGTTAAGAAAATTTAGGAAAGGTTATGAAGCAGGTTGTAAAAGTCTGACTTTCAGATACATTTTTATGTAAGTGTGGATACTGCATGAAGTGAACATTATAACATGCATCAGGTCATTGCCAAAAAAAAAAGGGGGAAAAAGGATAAAAAATGAAAAGATAAAGTAGGAAAGAAAAATAATTATTCAACAAATTTCTCAAACGTGATGAAAAAAAATTGTTCCTATACAGATCTTTATTTTTGTAATTGTATTTGAAAATGTTCAAAGATAAAATGTTTGGTGGTAACAACAGGGTACCTGTTTGAGGTTTTTTATCATTATTTTTTTATTATTTTGAATACGAAAAAGTCATGATGCTGTGGTGTTAAAAGAGGATAATGTTTTAGGAGTTTTAGAAATTTCATAAATGTTTTTCAGTTTATTTTACAAAATATAGTACAAGTAGACTAGATAATTGAAAATGAAGACCCTTATTTTTACATGTTTCAGATAACTTAAACAGCACTTGTATTATTATGTTATAACAAAAACTGATTTTTCATACATTTCTTTATATATTGTGAGATTTCCCCCCCTTTTCTTTGTTTTTGAATTGATCAAATCAACTTATAATCAACATCATGTATTTTACCAACTCTACTTACTGTTACTGTAAATCACATTTAGGAATTGTGTTTATAACAAGTTTTTAAACATTTTTACGTGTAATTTAATGAGTTTTCCCATTTACACTCTTGCTAGAATATGATTCTAGATTCATTATTCATTAACTTTATCATCGCATTGGATATATTTAGAAAATGTGTACATTTTTTGTTCATTTTCTAGTAGCATTTTGTTTTAGATTTCAATTTGCTTAATGTTGTAGATTGAAATTGTGAATTCAAATAAATTTTGCTCAAATGAAATTTATATTTTATCTTTATCCTATGAGAGACATGGGTTGCAGTCATAACTTACAGTTTGTTGATTTCCTTTCACATAAAGTATTAATAAAACATTTAAAAAATCCTTGAAGTTTTGGGTAAGAAAATTTATAGAAGACCAGTCTTGGCAACATATATAAAAGATCATGGTCTGCTAGATTTTGTGGTCAGTTTCACTAATTTTCACAGTTCTGGCCTATTTCAGCTCAAGACAGAAGCACAGCAGTCATCCAAACCATACTGTTATAATTACTGTCAACCAAAACCCCAGTCATGTCTTTCTTACATTCAAACAGATACACTTTAAATTTTCAGTTCATCAGAGGAAATAAATTCAGCTCATGACAAAGGCTTCCTGATAGTGGCGAGGTGAGTTTAGTGTCCTCTGTACCTCAGGTCCACACCCCCCCCCCACCCCCTCCCCTACTTTATACTAGAGGCCAACTGAGTGATGAAATCAATTCTATACAAATGTTCCCAATGGACAGCAGAAAAACTGTTATGTATAAGCCAGATACATATCTGTAAATATCTAGTGAAAAATCAATCTGTGACCCTGGTAGAGTGTCCCCCCCCCTCCC